ATTCAATGCTAGACCTTTAGAAACCTAAACAGCTCAGAAAACTGTCCTCCCTTTCCACTGATTAGCATTTCCTTACAGAGGAGGGTGTCAGCTCTGCTGCATTTTGAATGCTCATAAGGAGAAGAGGGAAAGAGCACACAAGGATGAGATGCCCTTTCCTCAAGCCTAAGAATGCTGAGGGCTGGGCACTCAAACCCAGAGCTCTGACAGCAGCAGCAGCCCCACAGCTGCCTGGGTTTCAGTCTGAGAGAGGAAAAGCACCCAAAACAAGCTGATAGCGTGGTCTCATCTATCTCCCTGCACAAGCAGCGGTCAAGTTTTCTGACAGCAGGAACGGCTAAAGCAATGTGCATTTGTTTTCATCCTCCTTACAGATGCTTACATGGAAAGCTCAGGCAAACCCCAGTCAAAAAGCAGCCATGAATAGGCAGAGAATACTACATCCTAGCCCCCAAGTATCCTGCAAGTTTCATTTAACATTACAGATCAGAAAATAGATTTCCAAGAGAATAAAAATAGACTTCAAATCTATTTTTAGGCGTGTTTTTAAAAAAGACCTTATTTTTACAGGCCAAGTGGCCTGAGGCACCCAAGTGACCTCCAGGCCACTCAGTACTGTTAAGGAGTGAAACAGCAGTCTCTTTCTCCTGGCCTTTTGAACAGATAGAAGAGCATTACTTTACATTGCATTACAGGGACTGCTCCTGAACACACTACCCAGTAATTACAAGTTGCATTATTTAATTTCAGTGCTGTCTACTACAAACGTTTCTGCTTCATAAAAGCACACTGAGAATGCACCCCAATGGTTACAATGGCGTGTGTCATCAAAGGCACACGTAGCAGCCCTCCAGACACACTCTCAGATGCAGCAGGTTAAAGAAACATTGGCTGGCACTGTGGCTCATGCCTGTCAGAGACAAACATTCTCCTTACAAATTGCTGCTTTGATTCTAAATTTGTACATGGTATTTAGACCCAAACAAACTTCTAAAAACAACCTCCTCTCCCAGTTCCAAAGACTATTTTCAGAAAACTTGACATTGCCAACAAGAGGGAAATGTAGGAGTGAAGGATACCTTATTTACTGGGCTGTTGTAAACTCACAATCTCTTTGCTGTCTGTCACTGAAAATTAAAGTGTAAAGAAAAGCAAATGTGAATGGGATAAAACCAAAAATTTTCAAGTTTTTAGTATGGAATAAGTCCTATTATTTGGGGAATTTTGGTTCCACTTTTTTGGTATTTAGCACAAGCAGTGTTTAAGTGTTTGCAAATGCTGAGTTTTCATATCTAAACAAAAGAGACTGAAATATATATGAGAAGTGCCCTTACACCAGGAAGCACAGCATTAACTGTAATGTTAACGTAAATATTACAGCTGCTATTGATTGCAAATACATATCAGGACTTCTAAGATTACATTCCTTTAATTATAATGACTCATAAGAAAGTGTAACTGCACTTGGCCCAAAGCAATTGAAAGTAGCAGCTGTCTAAAGGGACAAATATTGCCACAGATTGGCTCTGATAACATCCTAAATCTTCCTTCAAGTGAGATCAAACTGTCTCCAGTTGATCCCAAATGGGCTACTCCACTGATTAATTTAAAAATACCTCTTTCCCAACCACAGAACTTGTTACAACATTTAGGATGTTACTGCTCTGCTAGAGTCTTCCAGATGCAGTTTGCATTTCTAATAGTAAAGAAGAACCCAGTTAGAAGTCTTCAGATTTTGTCTTATCGAAAAGCATACTGCTTCTCACAATGCTTCTAAAAACACCATAAGCACACACACACAAAAAAAATTGCTTCTGGCAAAAAAAAAAAAAAAAAAAAAAAAAAAAAAAAAAAAAAAAATCAAATTTACTTAAGTAACATATCCATTCTTACAAATCACTTTTATTATAATATCATGCACAAAGAACAATATTTAGATAAATTTAAATAAATTACTGAGGTTTAACATGATAAATGGTTCCACATTACAATTTTTTCCAGTAGCAAAGCCCAAGTGATTCCTGTCCTTTTTCTCACCCAATTATTTCTACCATTTTGCTACTTTACTCATCAGTAGTGCTGATACAACTGTTTGTGGAGCTGCACTCTAAACCAAAACAAGAAAAAATGACCTAATTTTAGAAAACAACAGTACACTCACTGTTTTTCATAGGTGTAATTTTAGACCCTGTAATTAGAAGGAAAAAAAACCCCAAACATCACAAGTATCCAAAGTGCCAGTTAAGAAAACATGAATATAAGGTGTATTTCAGTTGAATGGAAAGATTGTTTAACAGTTAAGAGTCAGATCACTTACAGGTGGAAACTCAGAAAGGGAATTACTGCCAGATAGCCAAAGCTGTCTACATTTCATTTCAGGGGAAAAAATGGTTTTATTTATACTTCAATTACAGCCTTTCCTGTTGGAGACAAAAGAACCTGAAACACAAAGGGCGAGCTTTGCTCAGTTTCCTTTAGTACCCAGCAGTGTTACTTTCAAAGGAGACATGCACCCCAGGTACCAGGAGGCTTCCACAGAGAACATTCACATTTAAAAGGAGAGCAGCACATCTTTCTTTGGAACATTGTCTCACAAGTGGTACATGGAAAAAATACTGTACCTATTTTTTCCTGTTCAAGAGTTACAAAGTTGGACAACAGTGACCAATTATTTAGAACAAGTGTGGTTCATTTCTCCTTCAGAAAAGTTCCAGTCTAACTTCCCGCGTCAGTAGCAGAGGTGTCAGAGGCAGCCTCTGCACCTGCATCACTTTCTGTCAAACGCCTTTCCAGACCAAGTGCACCACTTGCTCCCAGACACACAGGTCACTCACTCACTCGCAGCATCAGTGATTTTGCAGACTGGAGAGCAGTACCCAGCACTAATCACTGCCTTCCTCATGGAACCCTGTACTTCACCTGCTTCACATTACTTGGCTAACACGGCCATGCTGTGCTAAACTTTGCATTTCATATTAACTTTCATATTAGCTGTGCATTTGTGATGCTGAGATGAAGATTTCTCAAGGCACTTCCCAGACTGGAATCATGGCCAAGCATTCAGCACACACCTGGAGTAGACAGCAACCTGCCTTCTTCAGGACTGCTAACAGCTGTTGCACTGAAGTCTCCCAGGTCCAGAACATGCTATCAAGGGAGCAGGGAGTTGCCATGATGAAAAACCACAAATAAATCTAAGGCCTACTGAGGAAAGGCAGGATTAGCAGTGTTACACTGCAAGAGGGATTTTCATGAGCTCCAAAAACTTTATTGCAACTAGGTATCAGACTGTTGCCTCAGTCTTTAGTTATTTTAACTAATCTTTCCAAATTCTGAATCCTCCCTCAAGCCTTGCAGTCTGCTGTGGATACTACTTGAAAACTGTATTACTTACTCTTGCAAATTTAACAATGAGTTAGCAGACTTCAAGCACTAGTTGTAGGAGTTCATGAGGCAAACACACTGCTTAGATTTTTAGACTCCTTGAAAGTCAAAACCTTTGCTTTGCATCCAAGAAACTGTCTACTCCAAAGAACAGGTCTGCATCACTCTAATTTTTTCCTCTTATTTTTAAATGCCTTCCAGCTTCCCTAGTTTTAGGTCAGTTTCTCTTTAATTTCACCAAATACATTTACAGAAGGATTCTGTATTAGAAAGGGAAGTGTGTACATACAGAATAAATACCACGAAAAGGAGGAAAGAAGTTGAAGCTTTTTATATCAATCTTTAGTGCTGAGTTTCCAGGACTGTTTCTTGGAATCAAATGCCTAATAAAAAGCAGTTCTTTAACATTTATGGTAGGAAAAAATAAGAGCAAAGATCTTGAGAAGTCTTGGAAAAAACCCATCTTAAATAAAACAATTGCTAGCTACACCTGCTGTGGCAATCAGGATAAATTCTACATCAATGACATTTATTTTCATTGAAGAAACTACAAGTGGGGAAAAGATGACCCTAGACAAAATCAGTATTTGAATTGTCTATAGAACTTACTGTCTTGTATTAAACTAGTAGTTCATGTCCTGAAAAGGTATTGTGTACTTTCTTCTGTCATTGACTTGCACCTCTATTGTCCCTACTTATTAGTTTTATGTAGCTAATTAAGTGAAAATCAAAATGAATTTTGGAAATTTATGCATCATCAACAGAACTTTTAATTAAAACCTTGTTGCTTCCAAATGTCAATAATGACTAGGCAGTGAAATACTTTTTGTGAGGTTACTCATTTGGGTGGAAGACAAGCTTACCATGGTAATACTGTTTTTAACACTCTCTGCTTAAAGCAACTGCAAAATTATATGTTACAGTGACCTAAAGAAAAAAACAATCTGTAGAGCCATGAAGCATGAATCACAAGGACTCACTTCAGATCCTAAGATGGCAAAGGATTGGTGGAGCTTGTATCTTGTAAGGCATACAAAAACCATTGGAATCCACAACTGGCACATCTGTGTTAAAAATTAAAAAAAAGCATTAAGCTTCCAAGGCTGTTAGGGACACAAAAAGTCCAATTCATTCAGGAGGTGTAAGAGGGAAAAAAAACAGCCAGAGAAACCATGGCAGGCAGATGCAGAATTGCAATGTGTTTGATCTATTGTGGTTGTACACTTGAGGTACAAGAGCACAGCTGTCACGTTTCATGTGTTTGACAACTCACCCCATAAAGCAGTAGCATCAAACCTCTCCATAAAGCTCCAGAGTTCACTGCTCCTGATTCACTGGCCAAGAGAAGGGCCTTGCTCCCTGGCACATAATTTAAGGACAATGATGAACGAACTCTTTCCTAATCATAAAACGCAGTATATTACTCTTTCTAGCAAACACACGTCGCATCTGAGATTAGCCCCGTGGCTGAATCATCGCTTTCTCCTAACAAAGGCTGGATGCTGATGGAGGCAGAAAGAGTGCTGATCTGCTTCTCCGTGCTTCTTACTGAAATAAAAGGCTTAAGTATTACCATGAATGAAAATTAGAACCACGACAGGCAGTGAAACGTTAACAGTCTTTATTTTACGCAATACTGTAGGCTGTGTAACATTACAGCTGCATGTAAGCAGACATACCTGGATCAGTATCAGTGCATACATTAATCATGTTCCCGCAGGAATCCATCCGTCACGGAGCCCCCGGCTCCCGCTGCAGCCCGTGCTAAAGCCGGCAGGCCCCTCTCGCCTTCAGCAGCCCGTGCTAAAGCCGGCAGGCCCCTCTCGGCTCCCGCAGCCCGTGCTAAAGCCGGCAGGCCTCTCCCGGCTCCCGCAGCCCGTGCTAAAGCCGGCAGGCCCCTCTCGGCTCCAGCAGCCCGCGCTAAAGCCGGCAGGCCGTTCCCGGCTCCCGCAGCCCGTGCTAAAGCCGGCAAGCCTCTCCCGGCTCCCGCAGCCCGTGCACAGCGGGCAGGCTCGGCCTGCGGGCCCTGAGAGCGCCGGCCCTCATTCCCCCCGTGCTTACTGCGGTATTTCGCAGCTCCGGGACGCCGACTGGGGGGCAGGGAGTGCCAGCGGGAGCTCGGAGGCGCGGGGCGCACCAGGCGGGCACACGGGGATCCCCTCACGCCGCATCACCGCGCCCCGGGCCCGCCGAGTCCCGCCCGTCCGCGGCCCCTGCCACCGCCGGAGCCACCACCGCGCTCAGAGCGCGCGGAGGTTTGAACCGCGCCGGCCGCCGTATGCGGGAGGTGCCACTGCCGCTTCCGCGAGAGGTGGCCTCCGACGCGCATGGAGGTGCCCGTCGTCGTGCTCCTGTTCCTCCTCCTCTCCTTACTGCTTGTCCCGCTGGTGCTCTTGGATAGGAGGCGCCGCGGCCGGCGAACACCTCCGTTCAGTCTCCTGGTGGTGGCCGGCTCTGGTGAGTGGCGGTTGCCGCCGGCGGGAGCGGGTGGCGCCGTAGAGCTGCAGCTCCAGATTCGTGGAACTACGGGTCCCGGCATGCAGCGCGACAAGCAGAGAGAGCAACGCTGCCCCTATACCCTGGTGCATGCCGGGAGTTGTAGTCGCGGTTGCGTGTGTCAGGAGCCGGCGCCGGGGCCCCGCCGCGGCAGCTCCTGTGGTGCCCCGGGCCGGGCTGGGCGTCCTCGGGGCCGCCGCCTGCCCTTGGGTGTTTTGGCTCTCGATTTGAGTCATTGTTACGCATTTAACCGAAGTCACGGTGAAAGCACTGGTGCAGGACTGAGCTGTGCAGCTGCTCGGCCTGGCCGGAGATTGCTGATGGCGAAGCAGGGCACGGCGTTCCAAGGACTGGCACGCCCCTCACATATGTGGCATTTTGCAATCTACCCAACCCACGCTGCTGTGATTTACTTACAAGAGTCACGCGTGGATCCGTCAGAGACAAGAATGTCACCCCTCGCTAAAGGGTGTACACATCTGCCACTCCCTGTTACCTTGTTATCGGAGTTGAAGGGCAATTAATTTACCTCCAAAAAATTTATTTGAAAATTTGCAGTTGACAGATACAGGCCAGCTGTGATTTCAGCACCTCAGTATCCCTTTGGTTTTTGCACACCAACTGATTGAGTAATAATCCTGAGATCTTTCTGCATCTGAGTTTGGCAGGTTTATAATTCTTAAAGTCATCTTTACATCCACTAGGGCTGGAAATGTGTGTATTTTCCTTGAGTCCTTTGGAATCTAGTTAGTCTGTATTAAAAGAATACTTCCACTGTACATAATCTTACCAGGTGAAATAATTCATGTGAGTTAAGATTCACATAACGTTCAAGCCTATTCTTTGAGGCTTTTAAGTAGGAATCTCCTGCTCTTCTGTCAGTGCTCAGCTGATTGCATTAATATTAGTGAAACCTTAACAAACACCACTCAGTAGAAAATATCTCCAAACATAACTGAAAAATAGCACATGAATTTGTACAGAAAGGTGGCAAAGTAGTGCAATGCTGCAGCATAGCTCTCCTTGTTGTCAGTTGTTCACCAGCTACGAGTGTTTAACCTGTGCAGCAGAGGTCTCTTGGGAGCCTAGTGACACTGAACAGCAGGAGGTAGCAGGAATACTTTTGGTTTACTGGTTTTGGTCTGCAACTTCCAGCAGAGTAAAAAGCAACACATCCAGTAAACACATGATGTATTTATGGGCCTGGTTTCATGTTGGTCTGATGCAGTCCAATAGACAAAAGGTGAGATTGCTCCACTTCACCTACACACACAGTCTTCCTTCTCCCCCTCTTCCATTCTGACAATATCCCTCTAACTGCTTTTCAGGAAACTCAAATGACAAAAAAACCAAAAATTAACCCAGCTGCCAAAAAGCCCAGTATGTACACCCTCGCCTTCTGTCTGGTGTAGTGCCAGTGTAGCTCTGGGACAGAGTGACCCTGTCTGGTGTAGTGCCAGTGTAGCTCTGGGACAGAGTGACCCTGCAGTTAGAAGGTTGTGAAGGCCCTTTCAAGGGCAGTGCTCAGAGCAGTGCCTGAAGCAGGACTGTTTGTTCTGTCAGCACCCAGCACTACACTGCTGTGGCTGCAGGGGGACACTGCTGTGGCGGTCCCTGCTGTGGCTGCAGGGGGACACTGCTGTGGCGGTCCCTGCTGTGGCTGCAGGGGGACACTGCTGTGGCTGTCACTGCTGTGGCTGTCACTCCTGTGGCTGCAGGGGGACACTGCTGCCTGGCTGGTTTCGGTGAGATGAGCTGGGCTAGCACAGCCCTGCTCTGGCAGGTCACAGCACTGGCACAGGACAGGGTCAGTGGCAGTTCTGCTTCCAGGGTGCAGCTCTGAGGCAGATCCTGTCCAGCTGCATTTTGGCCATTGCCCCACGGGGTGGCCTTTGAGTGCAGAGCACAGTGTCACTCTGTGCCTGGTTGTTCTGCGCCGTGTACAGGACATTAAACACAAACATCAGACTCCTGTGTCACCCTGATTCAATCCCGTTTCACTGGAAAACGTCCATCAATATCGCTTCCCTGGGAGCTGAGCTCCCTCCATGTTGTTTAAGCAGTCTCTAATTGAATCCTTTACTCTCAGAAGATACTTTCTCCCTGGTAGTAGTAACACTCATATGCTTCAAAATGAAAAGTGACTGATTCAGCTGAAGAAATGGAAAGTTACAAAATTTTTCACATACTAATTGCAGTTTGCTTTGTTTTACAGGTGGGCACACAACAGAAATCCTGAGGTTACTTAGCTGTTTGTCAGAGTCGTACTCTCCTAGACATTATGTTTTGGCAGACTCAGATAAGATGAGTGAAGCTAAAATACATTCTTTTGAACAAAAAAGGGCTGAAACATTCTCCAAGTCCCAGGTAACTTGTTAAATACTCATGTAAGAAAAATGATCTTGACATTCTAATTCAAGGCAATTTGGAAATTATTCTTTTAAAGGACATTTATACCAGCTAGCCACTGAAGTGTTACTTGTAGCTGTAAGAATATTGGGGCAAAAATATTGCAGAGGGGATTTTTTTTTTTTAGTTTGGCATTTCCCCTCAGTGAAACATAATATTTTTTTGAAATAAATTATATAGAAAATTATTTTATCTAAGAAAACCTTAATTTAATAATAATAATAATTTAATAATAATAAGCCAATTTGTATTGGCTTTGTTTGTTTCTACACTGTGTCTTGGCTGTATTTTAAAAATAAAGTAAAAATGTTTGTTTGAAAGGGATGCAAGGCCTCTGAATGTCAGTTTTCTGGCTGATGACCTGAGCAAATGCTGAACTCCTAAAACTCATGAAAAAGTCATTAAAATATCTTGTTTATTTTTTTTCTCAGATGTTTGCTTGCTTTCAGCTCATTTGCTGTATGATTAACAGACAGCAGCATAACTGCTGACATAAAGTGTGATCTGACATCCAGTGAAATTAGTAGAAAGTTTTAGTGGAATAAGTACAATGGAAATGAATGTTTTGACTGCAAAAAATTTAGGTCTTTTTGACCAAATAGTACAACACACAGTAAATTATTTATTTGCATGGTGTTGATTTCATGTGGTGCGCTTCCACTGTTTTCAGCAGCGCTGTTAGGACAAAATACTGTAGGACTCAGTACCATTGATTTTCAGAATAAACCCTTTTAATGTTAGGCAACTGCTGCTAAGGCTCACTAAGGAATGACATTTTTAAGGTGGTTAACTGCAACTTTCATGTCTCATTGTGCACGAGGGATGAATGTTTAGTAAAGTGACCAGAGGTGTTTCCTGTTCAGAGACATCTCATTGGATAAATAGCCATTCACACAGTCATATTCACTTACCTGAAGAATGTCCAATCCTAAATTATTAGATTTCTTAAAGATAGCTATTTTCAGTATTAAAAGGTTATGTGGTTTTCATAGCTCACTTATTTTTGCTAAGCAGCTTCTCTTTTATAACCTCACCAACTACTAACAGATCCTGTAGTTATATTTTCCCTCAACACTGAAAGCCAGACGAGCATTTTTGGCTGCATGTGAGTTTGATGTCTGGATAACAGATGCTCATTTTCCTTTGACCATTCTCTTTCTACTGAGCAAAATTATTTGGAGTGAAAACGAAAGATAAATTTTGGAAAGTAAATATCACATACCTGTAACATACATTTGCTATATTTCAGTGTGCTTTCACACACACACTATGTGTTTTGTTATGGGGGCACTGGAGATCATCAAACATTTAAAAATTATGTCTTAGTGACTTGAAGCTTTGCCTAAGTGAAAGAGAGAAGTCTGAATGCTTCAACACATGGTCATTGCCTTCCTCATCCTGTTAAGGAAGTAGATTTTTCCAGAACTAGGGACCAGATGGAAGACAAATTACAATAATGATGTAACAGAAAACCAGTGATGTAAGAGAAAATTAAACACACACACCTCCCCACCCCTCCAAATAATTTTTTTTTGATCTGTGGTCTATCTCTGTTCTAGCAGCTATTCAGGGAGAAGGACAGAAAGCCAGGATGAGCATCTTGCAGTGTAAATGCCCGGGGTCTGCGGGAGGCCGGGGGCGGCGGAGCGGGTCCGAGCGCCGCCGGTGCCCACGAGGTGCCGCCCTCGCCCGGCGCTACCGGCGCTGCTGCCGCGGCTGGCGAGGGGTTGGAGGGAGCCCGGGGCGGCACCGAGCAATAGCTACCGAGCGCTGGTGTTTCTCTGTGCTTTGTACTTTACTGTTTGCTTTTTATACACAAACGTTCCCAAACTAGACTAAGAAAAGGCAAAAGAGGCTGGCACGGACGGATGTAATAAGAAGAAGCTACAACGTTGTCAGAAAAGTAACAGCTCCGCTCCTCGTGCTCTTTTCCAGTTCAGCCTGGATCGCATTCCCAGAAGCCGGGAGGTTAGACAGTCCTGGATCTCCTCTGTGCTAACAACACTATACTCCATACTTTACTCCCTTCCTCTGACCTACAAACGGAAACCAGATTTGGTAGGTAGAGAAAATTTTAATTTATTGAGAACTTGCTAATCCTCATTATAAAAGCACTTAGCATATGCAGACCGCATCTCATATGTATGCTTAGGTTTACAATTCACAGGAAAACTATTTTTAATTTTAAATTAAATATAGCAGCAATACATCAAGAAAGAGAGAACAGGTTGCACTGCTGGTAAATTAGAATAGCAAATACCAGTTTTCCCTCGCAAAGTTTGCAAGTACCTTCAGAGAGTCACTCCCTTGTTATGCTGGAAGAGCTAGCAAAAACAAGATTGCTGCTTCCTGATAGTATCTCTTCAGGATTGCAGCAGCACAAACTATGCCTGAAAGCCTGGTTATCCTGTTGGCTGGACTTGCTTCTAAAATGGTATGACCAGTCTGGCACAGACAGGTTCAGACCAGCACAAATATATACAGATTCAGTTCTTGTGCTTACACAGACTTCTGAGCTACAATGCGTATTTATTTAGTCTTTGGCTGACTGACATTAATTATCTCATCTAATGACAAAAAGCATCACTGCTGAAGTAGCAACTCCTCAGCACTTCAGTAGCTTTTTCAAGCTGTTCCGAAAACTGCACTCTCATGCTAATTACATTTATTTTAAAATATTCCACACACTTAAAACAAGTGAGAAGCATTCAGGGTTGTCAGATGGTAGAACTACAATGGAGAAAGTCAATCAAGAAAGTTTTGTGTTAACACAAAAGGTAGTGCACTGGTCTCCTAGCTTTAAGTCTTACCATTTTGTAAGAAAAAATTTTGTCAACTTAAGGAGTTAGTAATCTAAACTTGAGGGTTTTGTAAAAAGTATTCGTTTTGCAGAACTTCAAATTAATACTTTATGAGGTTTAAAATGCTTACATAAAACATGTAAAAATGAGTGCAGTTACAAGGTATTTTTCATTATTTAGTAGTAGCAATTTAGTAGTAGCACCTATTTGTAAGGATATTTGTAAGGACACTATTTTTAAATCCCTCTGTGAACTGTATGGCTAATTCTAAAGAGGCTTTTTAATGTTTGTGGTATTTTGAATGTTTAGAGAGACTGCTGTGAGTAATGTAATCTCATTTGCTTCAATAGTACTGGTCAGTTCCTGTCAGATAAAAGCTACTCTCTTGCTGGACTTTTCAGTTTAGTGTGCAAGACAACAGAAGTAGGTTTTTTTGCAGTTGCTGTTTTTCAAACCTATTCTGAAAACTGGAGATAAAACTGGGAGAGAAGATGGCATGCTATTCTTTCTACAGTGGTTTGGATTGGGACAGTGGTAATAGTCAAGTTTGTTTACATGAACAGACAGAAAAATTTGAGTAACTATTTAGTAATACTTTGCTACACCACTGTGTTAGGTTAGTGTATTTTTTTACTTATTGCAAAAGAAATTGACTAGAAAAATCTCACTGCGTAGCTTAATAAAGGAAGCAGGAAGTTACTAATCTAATTCCATGTTTTCTGTTTACCAAAGGAATTTAAAGTGACAGAGAGATTTACACATAGAGTTATTAGAAATGGTGTTGGAGCTGATAAACAGTGATAAACTGTCAGAAGACTAACGTTCTGAAAAACACTTGTGCTTGTAAAATTAAGGATATGTTTTAGCAAGGCCTTTAAGCCCTTTGCAGTGTTTAAAGTAACCCCTGCCTCAAAATGAGATTCAAAGAGTCTTTATCCATGGTTAAAGAGCTGGAGGGGAAAGCAACCCCAATTACTTTTTCTCAGGTGCCATTATCAACCAAAATAGCAGCTGGCAGAAACATCCCTGGCAAATCATGTACCACTTGGAAGCTGCTTACATAGTACTACTTGAATGTATATCTTAGTTCAAAAATTCTGTAAAATATAATAACTCTGAGAGCTGCAAAGATTTTAAAACACTTATCCAGGCAGACTGGTTCAGGGATTAAAATACCTCACATTGCCAGTGAAAAGACTGTATGGTATGTGAAGCAACTGGTAATATTTAATTGCCTTTCCACAAAAATGTTTGCAGTGGATTGAAATTCACTCTACTCTTGGCAAAAAGTAATGCTTAGTAATGTAAAGAACTAGAACTAGGCTGGGACAAATGCTGGCACTCACAGGGCTCATCTATAACTTTTGGCATGGAAATCAACAACCAAGTTTAGAAACAAACACAGTATTACATCATGCTGAGAACTTCATATTTTTAAACATGAGAGCTTATGGGTGCTGTACATTTTCAGTCTAGACACTGTTTTTTTTAACTGCAGGAGGGAAAGACAACCTTGCTTCTAAATCATTTGTATGTATGAGTGATCCTCAAACTCTTACACTTGGTTTCAGGCTTGTCAGAAATATGTGTATGTATGAAGGAATGACTGAAGTCTTCTGTAGGCAGCCTAAAGCTAGAGAAACACAGAAGTGTTGCAGTTGTCAAGAAATGCAGGACAAGAAGAGTACTGCAAAGGGAACCCAATACCATTAGGTGCACAAAGGCAAGATTTGGAACAGATATGATAGTTATGCCAACCTAAGCCTGTCTGTGGAGTGCAAATAGCTGCAAAAGGGAAACAGCAAACCCAGTTGCACTGGAGTTGGTTGATGAGCGCTTGATAATGTGCTTTACTTGATGAGGACTCTGCCCCTTTTGTATCTCACACTGATCTGGCAAAGCTCCTTGAATTAGTTTTCCTGAGCAATCAGTTCCATTTAACCCTTCTTCAAGACTGTAAGTTCAGAAAGAGCTGAACAACTTCCTGGAGATCTTTGCTGTCTTGCAGGACTTGATCCATGCTTGAAGCGGGCCTCCAGAGAGTTTAAGAAATGTAAAAGTTAGTTGAGTTGTTCAGCTTGAGATGATCTTCAGGAGGCCCATTTCTGAGTTATGAACATCTGCAGTTTGCAAAGTTAAGTCCCTTAAGAGATATTAAGCTAAGTAACAATTAAGATGTCAGAAGTGATGATTGGCTTGTGTTTCTATAGCCAAGAATTACAGAAATGTGAGTGTCAGAGTGTTTTGCAGGTGAATATATGGTGAGCAGTTTTTATAACATCTATCTGCCTTAGATAGGCTTCCTATACAGAGGCCTAAAATTCCAGGGAAGTAAAGGCTTGTGCCAGCACACACTGCTTACACCCACCTTCCCCCAGAAAAGCTTTTAAAACCATTCATCAGCTGCAGCCAGATTTAGCATGCAGTCTCAGAGATTGCAAATTCCTACCATGAAAACAGGCAGCTGGTCAGAGAAGAGAGACTTCTGTTGTCTTCTTTGAGAGAAAGGCTAAAAAGAAACATAAAATTGGAACAAGATCTTATAAGATCTATTATCTAGAAAAGGATGCAAATCCTTCTTATTTATAGAAAATTACACAAGCTGCACAGAGATTTTTTCCAAAGATAAAGAAAATTACTGCATCCTGCATAGATCATTTGATATACAAGAAGGACTAAACTAAAGTTACATCTTTCCTTTAATATGCCTGAAGTCAGTCAGTAGATACAAGTTCAAAGGAAACTGGTCTTCAGTTCTCTTGCTGCTTACATAACCATTGCATTGGGCCAGTTTGCCAACCGTGCAACTAAGTTTTCAGGTGATCCAGCCTTTTGTCTGGATCATGATTATCCTGCTCATTCTGGCATACCTGAAATCCAAACTGAAAATGAAGGATGTGCACCTACCACACAGCAGAAGCTGCAAAATATTGTATCCAGTCCTTGTTTTCAGCCATAGACGGGTTATGTAATTGGGTCAGCAATTTGCTATCCTTTAATATAATTAAATTTCACCTACAGTTGTGCAGAAGTGCTGCATAAAGCTCCATTCATTAGCAGATTGCACATCCTGGACCCTTAGGACCAGACTTTTTTCCTTTTCTGGGGACACTTCTCAACAGTTCCCAATGCCTCAGGGCTCTACAGAGCCTGAAATAAGTAGATATTTTCAGATGACTGCTATTTGGAAAAACCTGGGTTAAATCACGCTAAGAAGGCGATCCTCCCACATTAGGGCCTCCTTCCTGTGGGAAGTCTGTAGTAAGTTTACATTTGCACAGCAAGTACGTGTTCTACTGTCAGAGAATGAGAATGAAACTTCTTTCTAGAAGCCTGAAACCTGCACAGCTTATCATGCTTGTAGCAATCACCTCTTCTTTTATCACTGCACATCCCATCACACATGCCTGATCCCCTGACTGGTTAAACTGACTAAGGCAGCTTCTGATTACAGAAGTGTTTGCACAGTAAGCTAAATGAAAGGAGATCATTATTTCATTTAGCTAAGATTTTCCAGTCTTTGTGCCCTGCCCAAAATGCCTGAAGTTCATAACACTCTCACAAATTACTGTGACAAATAGTAAGTTATTGTCTCTTATATCATGGTTCTAATTGGAACTTTGTGGAAAGCTACAAAATCTGGGTGGTGGCATTTTTTTCTTTATTCATTTTATAACAAGTGATCTTTGTATAATGCAATATTAGGACTATCTGCTGCATTCTTCTGTGCACTGCATCTTTCCACAGTGTTTATAATTCTTTGGACCAGATTGTATGCCTGATCTACTAATGTTCTTCTAGGATCAAAACAGTCAAAATAAGCAAGAGTAAGAACACTGGATTAAGAACTTCAGCAATACAAATTTTTTCTCCAAAAAGAAAACAAAGTGAAGGCATCAAAATTTGTTTAACTTCTCAGTGTTGATGAAAATGAGACTTATCCACCCCTCCTACCTTGTGTACTGTGTACAGCTTCCCTGCAGCCCCAATGCAGAATTACCCTGTGCTGAGCACAGATAAACATCTGAAGCTATTCCAGTCAGCTGGTTCAAAGCTTTGTTGTAGCTCTGCCCTTTCTGTGACTGCTAATTAGACTTGCCTATAGACACTGCTTTTCAGAGGGAGGACAGGAGTAGCAGTAAATATGAACTGAGATCTTAGCTTAGATTTAAGGAGGCATTTTTAGACGTAAAAGAGTCTTAACTCATCAGCTGTCAGGACCATTATGAACCTAATGAACACCCTGGTCACACTTCC